TAATGCCGTGACTAGGATTTATTGCTATAAATTCCACAAGGCATTTGAAAAAAATCTATTTTTTTCTAAAACCCTATGGCAACCGGCATTTCCAAAACTTGTCTAGTGTCTGGATAATAGAAATGTAGTTTATGACAGAGCAAGAGATATAATAAATATAAGGCTGGCTAGAATAGTTTATACTCGGCTAATGTCCCAGTTAGCAGGTGTAATATTGAAGTGATTATATACAAATCATTTTAAATTCACATAGAACTTGAACACTGTATATTATTTTATTTTAACGCTTCAATCCACGTGTGTTTCTCAGCGGTAACCACCCGCATGTTACGGATACACGCAATGCAATCTAATCATGTAACACTATAAGCTATCAATATTATGCAACGTTATTGTGACAACTGCCGCACAAGCCGTCGCCTGCTTCCCGTAATGTTGTTTCAGCTTCTCAGAAACACACACGTACTGCACGTATCGCCCCGTGCTCAGATAACCTGGGTGGATTTTGTTTTCGTACGCATAGGTTTGTAACTATGTAAGGCCATCGCACCGGCTACGAATACATACAAACCGTAAACTTAATCCACCCTCGTGGCAGTTCTATACCTTCACAAAACACAGACCTATGATAGATGCGATTATTCTTTCATTAATATTAGATTGCATACTGTATTTTTGCTGAAATGTTAGGCAAAGCAGTATCGCATGTAGTCTAAATATCGTAAATTATTTTATCGATACATTATTAACAAATACACTGATTTCATTGTTGTAAAAATACTTTTTTGTCCGTTGTTTCAATTTTTATTAGGATAAAATTACTACCGCCAGGTTTAAATCATACCTCTAAGTCATTTATATTAAACCGTCATGCAGGCAATTGAATTATTTTTTTTACAAAAATAGTTAAGGAGATATATTATGAACTAAAATACACACCAGTAGACACAGTTTTATGTATCTGTGTGTCGCGCATATTTTTATTCCTTTTCAACCCTCATCATGTATATGCTAAAATACATTGTATGTGTGTTCCCGCCACCTTCACAGCTCTATATATACTTGCGCCTGTTGGCGTGTCAAACTGTTCAAACAATCATAGAAAGATACACACATTATATATATATTCGTTTATGACACCCTGAAATACCCACGGCGTGAATATTCGGCAGGAATTTAACAGATGTCACTTTCAACACGCATCATTTTCGCGTCCGTAAAGTCTATATTAACCGATGCCTCCACGATGAGTTACAACTTCGCGATTTACATTTTTATTTTGTGCGGATACGTCCACCCGCGTTTCACACGTACAACGAGTAGCATTGCTGCTTGCGACACTACATGCAGTACTCATGCAGTAGCTACAGTAGCAGCAGTAGCGACGTACGGGCACCACCGATACCGGCGTGTTATCAACACGTAATAAATCATCCGGTGACCGCCCTAGAGTCATTAATATCTGCGAGCGAGACAGTTGTAAAATGTAAACGATGCTGGCCCACGTGGTTCGCCTTACTGTGATCGCCAGCTGAACGGTGCCAGAATTTCAAGTGCTTCTATAGCGTGGCAGACGAACGAACACACGGCGACGTGAAAGAGAGGGAAAGAAAGAGAGAGAGAGAGAGGATATCTATCGAAAGTACGTCGCATTGTGGAGGGAGAGAGAAAGTGAGAGAGAGTGTGTGAGAGAGAAAGCGAGAGAGATAAAGAGAGAGAGAGAGAGAGAGAGAGAGAGAGAGAGAAAGAAAGAGCGAGAGAGAGCGAGAGAGAGCTAGAGAGAACGAGAGTGGGAGAGTGCGCGTGAGTGAGAGAGAGAGAGAGAGTGAGAGAGAGAGAGAGAGAGAGAGAGAGGCAACAAAGATAGAGCGAGAGAGAGAAAGAACTGAAGGCGAAGAAATTCGCACTATTTGCTCTCTACATAAATACTATATATATTCTGCTATTCGCCGCGGCATGGTATAGCGTCACAGAGATACAGCGGACGGTCACATCAAACCATAAAACTCACAGCCGCTACAATATGGACTGTGGCTCAGTAAGACAGTAGCAGGTTAGCAACGATTTATTACATATCGTGGTGTACGGTTTGTTACCGGCCTCAGCACGGAGGAGGTGGGGTGGGGGGGGGGGGCATGCGTCTGCGTGCTTGTTTGCTAGTGTCCCCACGATCGCTTAAGGATGCAATGTTAGTCGCTGATAGAGTATCAATAATTGATGCAAGCTTGATCGATGCATGTACACCGAACCAACTCATCGAACGACGAAAATTTAATTGTTTCTACGAGAAAAAAATTAATCAACCGAAACAGGTGCATATCAGCATATTCTTCTTCTAATGCCGCACCGGTGGACGTTCGTAAGGCGAACAGAGAATTTAATTAGGAAGTGATATAGTTGCGCGTCTTGCAACTTGTCAGAATTCAATTAGAAAATGTTATAAAATGCGCGGAGTAGGTCGAGAAAGCTCCCCATGGATACACATAAACATGTCAGCCGTACTCCCCGCCATGGCTATACACACGAACACGCGCGCCCGCTCTGCCAGCGAGAGACAGCATATATACATGATTCCTCATGATATAATAACTAGCTACTACGATAATGCCAAGTCCATGGCCATGCAGCAACTTAAATGCGTGTATCGCCGCGACAGGGATGACGGGTTGATTTCTGGAAACGTGTGATATTCAGTTCGTGATATTAATATTTACCGGCGCTCATTCGAAGAATTATTTTACGTTGAGGTTATATTTGCATGGCGTAATATTGTTTCAAATACAGGTACAGTAATTTGTAAGTCAAACAGTCGGCGGGTTACGCATGCATGCTCGCATGGCCAAGCGTCAGCGTGCAAAACATACGGATGAAAGTACCGCATGGGGGCACTTTACTCAGTATTTAATAGAGATTTTATAGTCACTACAATATTATTTAAAAATCTCCAAATATGTCAAAATACGTTAATTATGTCACAATACTCACTAACTGGTAAAGCGGTGGAAAGCAATAATTTTAGCGACAGGAACAATATAAATATTAACCATAATTAACTTGATAATGTCTAAATTTTGAGCGAAATATCGGGGATAGGCCCCTACGTAATCATTATATATAAAGTAAATATATAAGTAAATAGTAACTTAATAGTAACTAAATATTATATTAACTAGCGATCACAAATAAATAAAAAAGTTGAATAATAAAAATATGCCATTCATGTTATTTTTTTACTATTGTATATTTACAAACAATTAAATAAATTTTAAACCCTTATATATATATATTGTACGCGTGTATATGAATATTACTATATAAATATATATAATAAATATGTAAAATTATTGGAATTAATTGCCAGTACGAAGTTTAGACCTAAAGGAATGACTGACCGTATAATTCATAAATTTGTTTTTATGAATTTCGTGAAACTTAATGTTATCGACTTAGCGTTACCATAGTATTACAGTTTTATAAAGTTCTTAATTTACACAATAATCGTATAAATATTCGTGGTTTTATCAAATAATAAATTTTCCAGTTATAGGTGCAAATCTCCTAATTCTACAAATCGTGTAAGGTAAAGGTAAGAATAATATTTATATAAATTACACAGGTTTAATACTTAAAAAATACATTTAACTACTGTTTCACGTCTGTAGCAATACGAAAAACCACTATGATGTGAAATTATAGTTGATAATAATATTATTATGTAGTTACATATAGTTATTATGAAGTAAGGGCTACATACAGTAAAAATAAATATGAGTGCGTTAAAAATCCGTATGACCTATGTATTATGATTGATGAGTCTGGGTTCATACAATGTCACCTTCTACGCAAGTACAGACAGATACACTCGAATGCACACAGGACACGCACATACACACACAGACACACACACACACACACACACACACACACACACACACACACACACACTACACACACACACACACACACACACACACACACACACACACACGACACTCACCACAACACACACACACACACACACACACACACACACACACACACACACACACACACACACACACACACACACACACACACACACACACACACAGAGCGAGGGAGAGACATGCATGCACACACAGAGCGAGGGAGAGACATGCATGCACACACTCACGTGCACGCATAAATGCACACACGTAGACACATAAATACACCCGCAGATAACATACACACGCGCCATGTAAGACTCTCGCACGAGCGCGCGCGTGTGTAGCCGCGACCAGACTCCGTAAATCAACCATGAAACACACGGGCTCACACACATATATATACCTCTTAAATTCTAAACGACATGCATGCCGAGCCATGTATGTATATTTCTCTTCTATGTTATATTAATTCTAGAATATCTATCCTCGTCGGTTCGCGCTCGGCATCCGACACGGACCTTGGGGGTGAAAAAGCGTCTGCTGGTCTGCTCATAACTTGAGCTTAATGGACAAGACCCGGTTCAAAGAGCAACGACTATAGCCGAGCATGTTTCAGAGGTCCGCATGCCGGCATGTGCTTTGATCACTGCCGACAATAGTAGCTCGTGGAAACACTCCCGCTAGTACAATTCACTATCGGCCGGTGCGAGTAACGCATTTAAGCAACACCAGCTATATGGCCAGTTGACGACAACACCGCGGGGACAGGCCGACGGGGCGAGACAATGTTTATTCAAGCATTTACATAACCGAGTCAGTCGTCTGCGCGTGTGACACATAGCAGTAGTTATTTATATATGCACTCTTTCTCCGTCTTAGCGTTGTTCGATGCGGAATGAAACACAGTGACACGTCTAATGTTTACGGGGCGCTCGCAGTTAAAATTAAAATTAAAATAACACATCGACGACCAATTAAGTGAGAGAGAAAGGGAGAGCGCGAGGAAGAGCGAGAAAAAGAGTGTGAGAGAGAGAAAGAGAGAGAGTGTGCGTGTGCGAGAATGCGCGTTAATCATAATGGAAGCAAACGTACCTGCTTTGGTCGTGTTTCGTTTCAATTGCATCCATTTATATTGAGGATGGTTTGGCGTGGAGTTTGCTGCCGACACGGGGCTACAGCTGCTGGAGTTCTGATCGACGGTCACCGTAACGTCAAGTCTATGATGCTGGCCATCGCTCGGCACGTATCCCGAGATCTGAGTCTGCTGCTGCTGCTGCTGCTGCTGCTGAATAACACCGTGAGGTGGCTGTGACTCCACGTACGACGAATTACTGTAGTTTATGACACCTCCGCAATCTGCGCTGTAATTCAGCGACGAGTTATGATAGCCCGCGTCGTTGGAGTGGCTGTGGGTTAGGTCGGTGTAGACGGGTGCGTCCTGCTGCTGCTGCTGCGGGGTGACATGATAGGTGTTGTAACCGTTGTACGTGCACGATCCGGGAGAGCCGTTAGTCTGAGCGTAGTCGTAGCCGTTAGCTAAGCTAGCGTAGGAAGGATCAAGCGATGCCGGGTGACTCTCCTGTGAGTACCCGTGGTGCCCAGTGTCAGGCATGTACGGAGAACAGTTGCCGTTCGCAGGTGAGCCGTAATACACCTGACCGGACACATCGCCGCTGAAGTGTTGATTCGTGATGTAACCATTTTCGACCACAGTATTGCACATTAGCGAGTAATCTATGGCCTCCGAATTCATGATGTTTATCCTTTAAATTCTCCGTCTCCAGCAGCTACTGATGAGGAGCAAATTAGCTGTCGCTGTCAAGAGATAAATCTGAAAATAAATGACTCTGTAATTTACAACCGTCTCGACACAAGCGAGAGCTGCGCGCAGTCACGTGACGCCCATCCACCAATGAGCGTCGACAAATCGCAACCTTTGATGGTTGCCCGGTTGAATGATGAATTGCGGCATCTAGGAGTTTCTAAATTACCAACCTGCCGGTTCTCAGTCGGCGATTGCGTTTTACTATGAACACGGTTACTTCCGACGCGAAAGGAAGAAAGCGAGAAGCGTGAAGATCTTACAGAGGAACTGCGATGATGCGACGGCAGGATGCGCGGCTAGGTGCACCATAAGTAATGCGTCGCTATGGAAACGGGACCACGGCAAATTCCATCCCTCGTCTCTCTACGACTGCTGTGTCGACCGCAACAGGTACGCTATATGTGTCGCCGGGGTGCCCGACTCTCCTCGTTTGTAAACAAGTCGGCGCCTGTCTTGGTCTGAAACTAACCGTGCTGCGTGAGTGCGGATGGCTTTTATGCCGACATGCACGCGCGCGTGTGTAGCCGGTTCAGACCTTCATTAGCCACTCTCACGTTTAGCTCTCGCCTCTCGGTAAGCGATACCTGTAAACACAAATTGTTGTTGGCAAAGGGATGGGTTACAGTAACCGCACACACACACACACATAAATCCCGCCGTCTTTGCTGCGTGCGGCCTTTATATGAAGAGTAACTAACCCAAAATACACATCACTCTGCAAAATATACACGCCTAACCTTTAGCGGACAGTAACCATATAAAAAATATATGCCCTTCCCTGATCTGTGGGTGTACAATACACCTGCACGTACAAGCAGGAAACATTTTTTTAGATAGTATACATTTGCAACCGTCTCTCGTGGATATCGTAGTTTGCCATTCAATGTAGTACCAATACTAAAAATAATATTATTTATAAATACGAAGTAATACGAAATAATTATTTTTAATTAGTTTTAATTAACTATCCTGTAACCTATTCGTTTGGCACAATTCTCACATATTTAGACAGATATGCAGTTCGCATGAAACAGTTAAGAAAAGAGCACTAGTATAATCGTACACGTACGTACGTAAGCATGAACGTATGTACACACAACACAGACGGACGGACAGACAGACAGACAGACAGACAGACAGACAGACAGACAGACAGACAGACAGACAAACAGACAGACAGGAAGACAGGAAGACATACGGACAGACAGACAAGCAGGCAGACAGGCAGGCAGGCAGGCATGCAGGCTGACAGACAGACAGAAAGAAAGAAAGACAGACAAACAGACAGACAGATAGACAGAGAGACAGGCAGGCAGACAGACAGAGAGACAGACAGACAGACAGACATACGAACAGACAGACAGACATAAAGACAGACGGACGGACGGACGGACAGACAGACAAGCAGATAGATGAATTGTTGCTTGATTATTTAATTACTCATGAGTACCATAATGAATTTAGCAATTTCTTCACGATGCACTGCTGAATACTTTGCAGAATTGTTGTGCAGAGTTAAATGCGTGCACTGCCATGCAGGTTTAGAACGAACACTCGCACATACAATCAGTAGGATAAGGGTGTAAAGTACACATGTGTTGCCGCTGATTTTGGGTGCAGTGTTTTTCTACTCGAGCAAACATACGGCAACACCTATCGAGCACATAAGTCATCGACTGTTTTCACAGCGAGTTTGTTATTCTTAAACACATAAACCACACTAAACTAAGGAAAAATGGTTTTGCCAATCGTAACATTTTAGTAGTTAGCTCTGAAGGCTATTGACTACATAAGATGTAATGGTTAATAAGATACGTCGCTAACAATGCGATTATAGTAACAATGCACTCGGTTATTTCATAGTATATAGTAATAATTATACATATTATATATAATTCATAAATAAATAAAGAAAAATCAAGTAAAATTAATTAATAAACAAGTTTATATATGTTAATTTATACGAAGTACGACATCGGTATTATTATAGCTACAAATCTTACAATGATAACGTGGTCGTCATCGATCTCTCTACTGTTAACTTGACGTGTAGGCGGCTATTTTAAATATCGTATACACACTTTGAGGCATATCGAGGCACATAATTACACCTCTATCCATCTTGTAGCACATACGACATTTGACAAAGTATCAAATCGAAATGTCAGCAAAATTTCAGTCAATAAAGAGTGAGCGATATCTCCGCAGATTCAGTGCCAACCGATTTCTGTTCTAACATCTTGAATTTGATTAATTAACATATTATTAACATGTACCTTAGCAGGTAAGTCACTGTGAGTCATACTAAAAGGTATTTTATTCTGATATAGAATAACGATATACCTGAACAAAATCCCGTGCAGAGCAGCGGATAGGCACATAAAAGTGGTCACTAAAAAGTATGTTGACTAGCGACACAGCGTTTCATTGAGCATGTAAGTAATGTTTAAGTATCAGACATGTCTATCACTGGCCTTGAAAATCTCGCTAATGGTCACCAAAAACACCATCGATGAATCTTGTGCTCGTTAGCGCACAAACGCGTTTTACGTCACAATTCATTCTATTGTAAAAATGGCGAAACTCAAAAACACGGCAATTCCAAGATGTCTGCCAAACGCAGTTATTAAAACAGTGAAGAGTCGTCATCCATTAAAGCTCGTCACTCGTGTGCGCGCTTTACAAGTATAGCGACGCACTATGACTGGTCGCATAATCTACACATGCGCCGTGTGTGGTACGGATTATGTCTGTCAAGTCATCTATTGAGAGTGTAGAGTGATAGAAAGATTTGGCCTTGGCGAAGTGGAAATATACGCAGCAGTAATCAGTGTCACTGTAATTGTCATTGTCACTGCAACTGTCATTGTCACTTGATTTCTATGCGGAAACATATATGTCGTTTTCTGATGGCGTCTATTGTACATTGTCTCTATAGTGTATATGAGTCTTGTTGAAAAATATTATCAATTATATGAAATGTAAGAAACACTGTAAACTGAAAACCTTAAGATGACTAATATTTTTTTGTTATGATAAGGCAGATATGAAATGGTTTAAGTGACTATTATATAATATTTAATGAATAAATACTATAGTGTACTTGTACACAAGCATTCTTATAACAGGGTGTTTACTGTGATGCTTCAAAATATGATCTATTTCTTTACAAATGTAACACCAGCATGTTTCATGTAACTAACGGAGAATCATGTAGATGGGAGTGGTACGGGAGACGGGGATGAGAAAATACATGACATGTGCACATTACAAATTTCAATCGCGTATTTTGTATTAATTATGCTCCCTTGCCGATCGTAATCCGCCCACAAGTAAGTTTAATTCGAATAAAAGCCCATAAATTAGCCTAGAAACGACACCAGGAAAACATAATATATCTACTGCCACCGGCCTGTTCGTTAACAGTTGAAAATAAATCGCGTGTGTATGTAATACACACGAACGCACGCACGCACGCACACACGTAGTATACACACACACATACACACACATAACACACACACACACACACACACACACACACACACACACACACACACGACCGACGCGACGCGCACGCACACGCACACACACACACACACACACACACACAC